TCCTTTTCCCACAGAGCAACAGGATCCCTAACAAGCTTTTCATATTTGGTGAACCGTAACTACAGTCAAATATTTACATGTACCCAAAGTTTACGACTGTTCATAAAGCACGAACATACAAGCAAGTTCATGGGCAGCAAGTTCTCCGTGTGGAAACTCTGCTGTCTATTCAGAAGTCTCTTCTCTGTTTACTTATTTGTTGTTGTTTGGTTTGTTTGTTTGTTTGTTTGTTTGTTTGTTTTTGAGACAGGGTATCCTGTGGCATTGGAGCCTGTCCTGGAACTCTATAGACCAGGCTGGCCACCTTCCTCTGATGGGATTAAAGGATTAAAGGCTGGGATAAATGGGTCATTTACATTTTAAAAATAATCTTGTACCCTCTAATGTCTCCAATGTGAAAGCTCTCAAAGTATTTAAAAGCAGTCACTTCCTTCCTCGATGGCCAGCCTCAGCCTCCATTTCTCTACTCCAGGCAAACACTGTAATGCCTCCTGAGTATATATCACAAGGTACATTTTCACAGTCTTCACCATCCTCACTCCTGTAGTGACATATCCACCCCATCACACCCTCACCTGTGACCACGCCTGTGATGGATATCTCACTGCACACTCCCATTCTGAGGACCCACTCCCTCTGATGAACACTCTTCCTAATTGAAGTCACTAAAGGCTGCACATGCTGTTCCAATGGCCTTCAAACAGTAAAAAGAACAGTGGATAATTTGTTTAGGAAAATAAAATGAATTTTGGCAAAATAATCAACAACAGCCACCAAATACAATGCTTATAAAAAAGAAACTAAAGTCATCTGTTCTGAGAGATGTGTCAAACAATATAAGTCATCATATGTCACCTATTTAAATGAAGTTGTGAACTCTTCCAAGCCATTTTCCAGGTTGTATCAAAAATACTACAAAGTGGCAGACACTGGGCTATGTAAAGAAGTTCCAAAGATAAATAACCCTGGCTAGAATTACGTGCTCATTCATGCAGAATCACAAGGCAGACACATATGATCCACTGTAGAGACCCAGTGAAGGTGATATGTTCAGATTGCTGAAAGGACACTGAGAAGAAATGCCAAATGGGAAAAATAAAAAAGACTATTTCTAAGAGAAGACACCTAGAGCCTATATACACAGTACCTCTTAATTTTTAATGTGCATAAAAATCACCCAGGTCTTGTGGAAATACATATTTTGAGTCAGAGAGTCTCAGAAGACCTGGGTGTTGACCTGTATGTAGAAGGGGCCCATGCTGTTCTCTTAATGTAGCAAATGTTTGAAAGGGTAAAATATGGTTTGAATGTAGAATATCCTCTACAAGGTCATGTGTTGGAACACTTGGCCCCCAACTGATGGGGACTTCAGGAGTAAGTCATTAGAGCAGGCCTTTGAGGTTGACTCTCACCCAGCCCAGGTCCACTGTCTACATCCTGATTCAAATACCATGGGAAGAATTCATCCACAAACTCTGCCACCATAGGCTGAAGCTTTTCCAACATTCCTTCCCTATCATAATGGGCCAAAATTCCCTGGGACCCCATCTTCCTTTAAATTACTTCAGACAAGAACTGTGATCAAAGTGACAGGAAAGCAACCCAGACAGCCAGAAACATCAAGCATAAATGCCCCTTGACTGTGATATTACCTCCAGCAAACTGATCACAAGCTCAAACTATCCGAAGTCAAAAGAACATGAGCTACACCCAACCTTGCAAGCATCATAGCTTGGCTTATATCACCTTGAGTGGACTCAGGACACTTCCATTGGCTTCCAGTTAGCCAAAGTCATCCAATACAAAGTATAATTGGGATCTATAGACTCCTGCTGCTTCCACTCATCACAAGTGAATTTTGCAAAAGATTAAGACTGGAAATCTGAAGCAGAATTCTCTTTAATGATGTTTTGTTTTTGAAATTAAAATGTAATTGCATCACTTCCCTTCTTGCTTCCTCCCTCTAACCTCTCCCATGTACCCTTTCGCTCTCTCTCAAATTCATGACCTTTTCATTAACTGTTGTTACACACACATATGTATGTATTCCTAAGTATGTAAGTACAGCCTGCGGAGTCTGCATAGTGTTACTTGTATGTATATGACCTCAGGGCTGACCACTTGGTATTGGGTAAGCAAGTGAGAGGGTTCTTCCCTAAGTAAGACCATCTTCCTGTCTCTGAATTTCTTAGTTGCTGAAACACAATCCTTAATGGATGTACATCACTTGAGCATTATTGTGAAATAAACAAAAACAAAAAACAAAACAAAACAACAACAAAAAAACCAAAGTATTGTAAGTTGGAGCTATCTGCAAGGAACAGGGAAAGAGGGAGGGCAGAACTGGCACAGTAGAGAAACCCTGAGCGTGGAGGTGGATTGAGGTTCATTGGGGTCCCCAGCAATGCTGAGAGTCTGGAGTCTCAGAAGGCAATGTGGCTGAACATGATGAGTAAAGTGTACTGACAAGTCCTTGTGCAGGCAGGTTATATGGTAATGACTGTAAACTAAAATACCAATTACAATCATCGATAGAATAATATGGCAGATGCCAATGTTACTTTCCCCAGTCCTGGAGTCTATTCTTAACATGACACTTGATGACACATGATCTTGAAAAAAACCACTTGCTCATTGTTAGCAAGTAGTGCCACATCTTTTAGAAAGTGAAGAGTCAACCCAATTAAACACCATGGTCTCTTTTTAACCTTTAACTTTATAACCCTACAGGCTTTAATATTTTATTAAATGTTAGAATCATAAAGTATGTTCTTAGAGGCTCCTACAATACTATGACTATAAATTCCCACATATGGCTCCTATTGATTCTGCCTAGCCCACAGCTATGGAAACCTGAGATGTCTTCTGTCCCCACCGTCTTTACCCACCCACAATGCTCATCTCCAGGTCTACTCCTTTGATATGCAACCACTACTGTCAATTCTTACCCTTACACTCTCATCACTTTTGTTATTGCAGCAGAACTTTTAATGTCCCCTCCAGCCTCAGCCTAATCAACCTCTGAACAAATTCTGGGAAACTAAATAACTCTCGGGTCAGAAAGACTTCCAGTTGAATGCTAAGTCTACAGTTTCTTCCTTGTCAGCAAGTATTTAAACCTCCCTTGCGCTCCCTTGTTTTTAAGTCACAGAGATGATTGAAGATTAATGTTTGTAAAGTGCTCATGTAGTGCCTATTACACAGTAAGAATTCAAAAATTATACCATTTTGAAAGATACATCTCAAAAAGCCTGGAGCAGGCACTTCACAAAAGAGGAGAATCAATTGGCCACATTTTTTAAAAAATGGAATGATATTCCTCATTAGTAATCAGCAGAGTGCAAATTGATACTTATATAATTACACATCCACCTGATTAGAAAAACATAAGAACTTGCAAATGAAGTACAGGGGGAAATGCTGAATTTCCCCTACACTATCACCGTGAGTACAAATTGATGTGTCCAACTCAAAAATGTTTCTAAAATGATTTATTAAAATTAAAGGCACACATATCTCAAAACTTAGCCATCCCTATAAGGTTCCTTGTGCCAAGTCTTCCTTGACTTGTTTTCACCATAACTGTGGGACTCTTCTCTTTGAAATGCCTTTGCTCCCTGTGTCTACCTACCTAATCATACTTCACAAGGACACCATCTTTAGGGTGTACCTGCACTGCTACTAGCACATTGTGTTAAGTAACACATTCTTTAAACTGAAAAGTACTTTATGACAGAGAAACTCGTCTATTTCAAGCCAATAAGAAGTCTATATGACAGATTCTCAATAAATGTTAGCTTAATAGATAAGAATTTAGCCCGAGGACAGTGTATATCTTCTACTCACTGGGAATAACATAGTACAACATATAGAGTCAACCATATAAAACTGTCATTGTTGTAGCTCATAAATGGTTGGTTCCTGGCAATTATATACAATTCTCTCAAACAAACATGAAACTCTATTTTATAAAGTACACAGTATTGGTCACTCTTGGATCTGCATCTTTGGTGTAATGGTTGGCAGATTATAGAAACCATAATAAGAATCACTATAGAATTCATTTCCTCAGATTTCTGCAGCTATGAGCCACAGGATAGCTTTGCTATTAAGAAGCCATCAAGCAATTGAAAGCGAAATATTTATCACTAGCACCAACAGCTTCCTTTTGGAGTCTTATAGGTACCACCATTGCATTCTGTTTCTCATAGATGTTATTTGACAGAATAGAGCTTGTTCATCTCAACTGTAGTTTATTAACTGCTGCCTTTGGTAGCTATCAAGCATCAAGATTTGAATTTAAAAGACATTCTGCTAGGATGTGGTGATAGTCATAAAAATAATGCATTTCCAAATTATTCTAAGTAGGTAGAGCAACGAGGTATATCTTTAATGTTTTTCATGAGTAAATGGATTTGTACATTAAAATATCCACAAATGTGATGATGGTGTTGCAGTTCTTATGTGTCTGAAGAGATAAACAATTGTGTGGGGGGAGGGGTGTGGGTGCGGGTGGATAGGTGGGTGTAGTACAGGTGTGGGTGGGTGTGTAGGTCATATGTATGTGTGGTGTATACGCAGTGTGTGGAGGGGGTGTTTCTGAAAGGAACTAAATATTATAATTTAGCTCAGATCCAATTTTCCCACTAAAGGAGTTTAATCAAACATGCTGCAAACAAACAAAAAAAAATTATTACTTAAAATGTTTCCCAGCTCTTATTCTATAACATGATGCTATTAACTGAAGCCATATGTAGACTGGGATGGCTCATGGAGATGGTGTCATGGTATACCTCAAAACCAAAGAATTATAAGAGGTATTAGAATTCTCATACCATCAACTAATGTACATGCTCTCTCCTACATGTTTTTTACCTAGATTGACACCATTTGGAGCAATGTTTCTTCAGATACATATATGAGACTATAACCTGACAGGTAAGTTGCTCATGTTGACTATGAATGTTCTACTAAGGAATACTTGTAGATTTTTAACTCACCACTGCTTGTGTGGTTTTTCATCTATAGGAAAGGGGTCTAATTCAATAGTTTCTTGCTTGAGTCGCCATAACCAAGATCTGAGATGGTCTTGCTGGTGGTGTTCTCACACTAGCCTGAAATCAGAGCAAAATGATACATCAATTTCATTTGAAGATTTCACACTTAATTTCACTTGCACTAATAAAACTAAAATACTAACATCAAACAGAATAAAACAATTTTTCCATGTGGCAAGGAGCAGGATGGTGACATCAGACATTTGAGGTAATAACTTCTTTTAGAATTTGTTACAAACAGAGGAACTTTGGTGTCCTCCATAGCAGGACAGTTGAATGTTTTTAAAATCTGAATAGAGAACCCAATTAATAATTATTTGAATGCACAGGATATTTATTTTTCTACTGTAGACTTAGTCTTGAGATACATCAGTTTCAGCCTTCAGTGGGAGGCAGTCTTCTTTTTACAGTAGAGTTCACTGGAACAATGGCTACATGGTTACCAAGAAAAAGGAGAGGAGGTCCTGATGTCTGAGAGGTAAAACTAAGCTTATGTTGCTCTGGAGGCAAAGTAGGATGCTGTAGTAATCCAATCGTATTACAGACACACTCTTTATACTTATTGCTGCATCACTTTAGACAAGATTCTCAAGGCCTACGCCAGTTTTCAACCTCTACCTATTGTCAAACCATGAACTTAATTTCCATCTTATTAAATCCTGAAATAACCTCCCTTTCTAGTCAAATTTAAGTGTCTTTCCCCTGGCCAGAGGTGATTTCTAGAAGTACCTTTCCCACCACCACTCACTCATTCCCTTCCAGTACCTCCTTTGTCATGTGTCACCATTTTAGAGTGAAGTAGCTTCCTCATAGGTCCTGCTGTGCTGATCATCAAACATCCATCCTCACTGTCGAACTCAACTCCCTACAGGATCATCAACTCCAATGGCTGAAGCTGTTTCATCATCTCACTCTCTTCCACCCACAGCACTTCTCATTGAACAAACACTGTGTACTTGCTATGTGCCTACTGTGCGCTGGACTGAGCAAGACAGACTTAAGGCACAGGCTGTGTTGTGTGGTGAACTGTATGAAAGAGGGAGCCCTCCTCCTATAGATATGGAATAAACACAGCCAAATTAGTAGACCTGGGCTCCTCCCTTCATAGTCTGTGGTCCCAATCCCATTTCCACACAAAAGGACAATGACTCCAAGATGGCACACCCAGGAAGTGTCTGGTGCATCCAGGCAGGCCACTAGCCACAAACCAGGACTCGGTTTCATTTCTGTAACGAAAACCCACTGAGTGAATTTGCAGTGTTTTAAAGTCTCTGCTGGTTATGTTTTGGCTTGTCCCTGATGTTAAAAATGGAGGAGGAGGGGGTGGGGGTGAGGTGGGATCAGTGGAACCCTGTCTCTTAGTGTGCAGGCTGCTTGGCAATGCCTGCTGCCCTATACCATGGCTGCACCTCCACTCTGCACACCATGCAGGGCGTTGAAGCAGCTGTAATTAGAACACTTCAACGGGAGCCTTCTGTCATTTATTTTTCCATACAAAACTTGATTTTCCATTCCCCCAGCATTAATTTCTTAAGCCTATGGGTTTCATATCTTGCAGGTACTAAGGATAAGAATGGTGGGAAGAAGCTCAAGTAGCTTGTTGTGTCCAAAGTGTCCATTAAACTACAAACTCCTTTGCTGAAAATAGGAGTGTTTGGAGTCTGTTTTCAAACATACAGGCTTCATTCATGGATTTTGCAGTCTCCACTCATTTTTACTAAGATTATCTATTTTAAAAAATAAATTTTTTCTACATTACACATAAGGGAGGCAATGGTCCTCAAAATACATACATCTCAAACTTTCCTTTCTTCATCTTAATTTGCTCATGAGGCTGAAATATACTCAAAACAAGGGGAAAAAAACTACTCAAAATACTAGGACTTCAGTGTGAAAACATTTATGGAGAAACGAGTGTCTGAAAACCCAGCTTCCGTTCTCTTCACGCAACACGCAGCAAGCTGTTTTATCAGAGTCAGCTGTGCAGCGCCTCAGCTCATGGTTATGTAATGCAATAAATAATCTCAATACACTCAAGAAACTAACAGATCGTGTTCCTCCCAGGCGTCTGTGGGCCCACTTTCCCCACGCATCCTCCAGGATCTGTAGAAGGTGCACTAGCAGATGCATATGTGGTAGGAGGGGCTCCGCAAGCCCGCAGCTAATAAAGCAGTGTAGTCCTTTCTCATCCCTGGTCTCTTCTGCGTCTCTATGCAAGACTGCCACAATGCCAAGCAGGAGCATCAAAATGGATCTCAGGGGAAGCAAGAGGTACAAGGATGACATCCTCTAGCTGGAGATGTGTTTGCCTCTCATGCAGACCGAAAGAAGTCTCCTTCTTCACTAGCAGCCCATTTTTCCGATGAGCAACCAAAGATTTGCTTGGTTTGCTCACAACAATTCCACTCTACATCTGTCCTCTGGCTATAAATGTGACCTGAGGGCAGCTCCAGACCAAGGAGGAAGAATGCCTGGCCCTGAGTCTAACAAAAAAGAAAACCTTAATTGCACTGTATCTTTTATCATCAGGATGGAAAAACTTGGTAGCTAAGTGTACATTCAAAGAGATAGATTCATTTACATGAGACCATAATGTAACTTTCAACATATGTATGTGCCTTTGAACACTTACATTAGGCAAACCTCTTTTGCTTCTGACATTCCTATAGCATGCTGACAGTGAATGAGTTCTGCTGTAAATGTAAAATAACTGTATTTTACATTAGCCAAGATCAGCTCTCCTCTTAACCTTGGAACATCTCTACCATGCACTAGGAAACCGTAGGACTAGCTGCAGATGCGCCAGACAGTGACAGTGAGAACACATTCAGTCCCTATGGGATCTGTACCAAATCACCTCTGCCAGCAAGCAAACACACTCCTCCCCCAACAGACGTTGTTTTAGGGGGTAGCAAGTAGGAAGCTGGAGGCAGCTGGATTTGCCACTCCCTGGGTAGTTTTGGCTTCCCTGTCACCTGGAATCTCTTTCATTACAATTGCAAAGACTTTACAGAAACCAGAGCGCCACAAATGGAAGCTACTAATGACAGGAGGGGAGGGGAGGCCAGTAAGGAAGCTTGGAACTCATACCTGAGGCCACTCCACCTTTCTCATCTGCTTTTCCAGTCCCCTTGTGGGGAAAGAGACCATCCCTTTTGATGTCGGTAGATAAACTAATCCAATACTTGATGTCCATATTAAGGGTAAGACCAAGTTTAAAAAAAGAAAGAAAGAAAGAAAAGAAAATATGCACCAGAAGCAGCAAGACTGCTACATCAAACTGTCTAGCCCTAAATCCCAATGGTTCCAAAGTGCAGTTGGAAGCTTGTGCTTTCCTTCATGAGCATAGCTGGCTGTACTAAAACATGCATGCTCACCGAGGACAGATGCCTTCGGAAGCCTCTCTGAGAGAAATGGCCATTACCGCAACCATTTTAAATATGTTGGTCAGCATTCTGCAAGACCTTCCAGGACTGACAATCATAGCATTGGGAGAAAGTGGGCAGGTGATGCCTGGTCCATCTAACACTCATCTTCCTTTGCTGCCAACTGTGGCCTGTCCCATATGACTTAGCCTGTACTCGTGAAAGTTATGGCCAGTGCTGTCACACAGACACATTGCTCTGCAGCAAAGGCAGGCCGTGTAAACAACCTTGTGGTTGCTTCATAACCTACTGCCCTGGGATAAGTCATTCTTTTCTGCGGCCAGATTGCAATGCCCTTGAAAGTTATCTGCATAAGGCAGTCAAAGCAGCATCTCGGTCTCTATATTTAAACATTGGAGGGAAAAGAAAAGGCTATATATAATACATACATATCATTTTCTTAAACTATCCATAACCTGATTTACTTGAAAGCTTTCCAATAAATCACACTTAATCTGCTGAAGGAGCAAACACATAAATTCTGATAACTGTATCACCAAGCTCTTTCCCAATGACAGCATTTTTTTTTTTCTCTCTCTCCTGACATTTCTAGGGGACACAGTATCTCAGCACAGAATACCTGGGAATCTTGCCATAGAAAAATGCTGCCTGCTGTGACTGGGCGATCACTTTCTTAAAGGGATCTTTACCTAAGTGGCTGCAGTGCCAACGTTTGCTCTTTTCCCTGGTCAAGCCCTGCTCTGTGTTCTTGCCTGCAGCCCAAATTTAGCTCAGGGTCTTTCTACCAGAGGAACACCATTAGTTTGTTATATACGTGTGTATGCATGTTTATGTGTGTATATACATATATGTGTGTATGTATACATACATATATGTGTACACACATATATATATTTCAGAATATTTAAGGCTTAAATTTTATGTTTGAGACCCATAGCATTTATCAAACAGAAATTTATACTTCTAAACAAGCCTCTCTCTCTCTCTCTCTCTCTCTCTCTCTCTCTCTCTCTCTCTCTCTCTTTCCGTTTCTCTTACTCTGTCCACTACTCTTACTCTGCTTTGCCGGGTGACAATAATAATGCAATAATAATGGTCTATCCCACCTTCTAGCACTCTTCACTCCAAACAGAAAGGTCTCAGCCTCGGGCTGAGAAGAGGCTGCCCAGAGTAAAATGCCAAGGTCTTCTTACCTCGGAGACAGTGCGTTTTCTTAAACTGGCTCTGCAACCCCATTGCTTTCTACTTTCTTATGCTCTCTCCCATCCCACAAGAGTGATGACAGAAATCACCCACCCTCCCAAAACGGGTTAGAACCGAAAATGAGCAAGGAGCCACCTACCATTCCGTGCCTGAGAACTAGGATCCTGGTCCGGATGCTTGCCCCAGAAATCCTCCCTACTGGATTTTCATTAGCCACATACCAAACCGGAATAAGGAGGAGGGTCTTTGGAGGTGTGGAGATTGTTTAAAAATAATAACAGACAGGTGATTTCCAAGGAGACCCAATCTTTAGCTCACTCAAGCCCCTAGGGATTGAGGAGTGGGGAAGAGAAAGAAAATTTGTAAAAATGAAAATAGGAAAAACAAAAAAAAGGTAAGCATATAATGTATGAAGCACCACCCACCCCCATAAAAATAAAAAGAGACGGGAGGTTTAAAGAGAAGAGTGGCTTGCTGAATCACCCTCTCTCACTGCCTGGAAACCATTGTGCAGCGGGAGGCTGCCTGTACCATTGTGGAACCTACCAGAGGAGAGGGACAGAGGGCTTGGGGAATGGGGTTGCTATGGCAACTGAAAGGAGCACACATGACGTCAAAGCCCAGAGAGGTCTAGGGAGGGGTAGGAGGAGGGAACAAAAAAAAAAAAAAAAAGGAAGTCTATCTGTGTCTACAGCTACCTCGTTTTCTAGCGAAATGAGAAGCAGGAACAGGATTGTGGCAACCAAGATCTGCGAATTCAGCGCTAGTGAGGGCGGGGTGAACCGGGAGGGGACGGGAGCAGAGGTGGGGGGCTGCAGAGGGATGCCTGTACAAAGCCAAGGAGCATCTCCTCCATGTGGCTCAGATCAAAAAAGCCACTGGGAAGGCAGTCACCCTCGCTTTTCAACTACCTCCACTTCTTGAGATCAGCAAAGAAAAACGGAGATGTGCCATCTCTCTGAATGTCAAAACAAACGAGATGGTCACAACCTCGGAAGAGAAGCAGGGATTGGAGCTGAACCCTGCCCACAGAGGTCATTTGTCCAACAGCATCGCTTCTCTACCTCCCTATTCCATAAAAACTGTGCATAGATAAACATCCACCAGAGCAAACTAGCTAATGTGTATACTGCAACTTAAAGTAGAAGTGAAAATATTGCTAATTTGTGTTGACAAATTAGGATATGAGGTTTTTTTTTTTTTTCTGGTTTCAGAAAACTCTATAGAAAACTAATACAAATTGCACTTACATGATTTAAGAATTTTTTTTCTGACTTTGACTGCTATAGAATACTTTTAAATTATGAAAATTATATCTATTATGAAATTATATATGCATATATATGCCATATATGTAAGATAACTTGATAGAATGAGAGCACTAGGCTACTTTCACTATTAAAATGTTTACCAAAACAAGTTTCATCTTATGTTTTAAAAGCAATCCTAGTCTCTGGACTTCTCAAGCTACACAATCAGATCCAATCCTGTTTTTCTCAAACACCTTCGAGTCGGGTTCCCATCTGTTGAACCAAGTCATGCTAAAATTTATGCTTCTACACAGTGCTTTGGAACTGGCGCACTGACATGGACAAGCTCTGGCATAGGCTAATAAAAAAGATATAATGTAAAGCAGGTGTAAATCCAGGAGTGACGGCAGACCCTGCAAGGCATCATGAACCCCACATTTTCTATGCTGGGAATTCAAATGTCATACCTTACACATGCCAAGCGAGCATTCTGCCACCATGTAGCATCCCAAACTTGTTTCCTAAGCCCAGATAGCAAAAGTCAATCCCCAATAACCCAATATTGATAAGGAAAAGCTGAAGTTCAGCTTTTACCTTACACTGTAAACAAATATTTAGTCAAGATATATACCGGGACATGAGAGCTAAACAGCTCTAAAGCTTTTAAAATAATGTGTATCTTTTAAAGGGAAAAATAATTTTTGAATCTTGAAGTAGTATAAAATTTCTTAGAGGGAATAAATGTACTCTGAAAAAGAAAAAAGAAGCATACTTCGTCAACATTAAAAGCTTACTTCCCCAAGTGAGAGACTTCAGTGAGAGTCGACTAGAAGAAAATATTCTTGACATATATGTGAAAATATATTTCATACATATAAATTCCTGATTATATAAACATTTACTATTCGGCAATGAAAACAAACATGCAATGATGTCTAATGAGTAAGAAGACTTGGGCAGATAATTGACAGGAAATTTAAAAACAGTCCATATGTATATGAGAAGCATTCAACATGACTAGTCATCAAAGATGCTAATTAAAAACCACAAAGAAATTCCATTCTGTGCCTACAAAAAAAAAAAAAAATGGCTAAAGTTAAAAGCACTGATACCACCCCAGAACTGGAAGAGCTATGAGAAACCAGAGTTTTCGACTTCTGTTTAGAATAGAAAGTGATTAAACTACTTCGGGAAGCAGATTGGAAGGTTTTAACACACAATTACAGTGTGACTCAACAATTCCACTTCTAGGTATCCATGTAAGGGAATAGAAACATATGGCCACAAAACGTTATACATAAATGCTATACCAGTTTTATTTGCAATAAGTAAAAACTAGAATCAACTGAAAACCTGTACACAGACCAGATAAGCAAATCATTGTATATTCATACAGCTGAATTTTTAAAAGAATCGCAGCCATGGATACATAAAACCAATCATTTTCATTTATTGGGTTTCTTGAAGTAATGGATGCCAACCAGATTTGAAGAAGAATATATTCTTTAACTCTTTAATTTTTGTCCTGCATATTTCAGTAGTATTGACATTATTAACATAGTATTTAAATTCTATTCTATATACCTTGGAAAATAATTTCCTAAAATTTAAGTATAAAATAAAATACAAGTTTTATTAATAAATAGCTAAATAGTTTCCAGTTTTTATTGGAATAAACCAAAGTTCACTCAACATTCTTGGTTTTAATGTATTCCTCTACTTCCACATCTCAATCCAACAAAACAAGTTTCAGGACCTCCTGTACACCAAGTAAACAAATGATAAAAACTATAGTAAAAGCATGGAAACAAGTTTTAAGATTATTGTATTTGCCATGCAACGTGTTCTTTTGGTCGAGAAGGGGCAAACTCTTTAAAATGCTTTTGAATGAAGCTGTATTTAAAGAAAGTCTGGTTTGGCTCCTTACAGTACTGCCATTTTTAATAAAGGATTTTAAGAGGCTAAATTAGTGTACATTCTCATTTAGAAAAGGTAGACTTTATTTACCACCCCTCATTTCCAAGTAAGTCTGTGTATGTAGTGGCAAGTGTGTGGTGATGCTACTAATGGCATTGAGGAATGTCCATCTCTTTATTGGGGAATGCCTACCTCTTTCAAAATGATCTGCTAAAACATGCAACAGTACAGATGGCTATTAAAAACATTGCGCTGGCTGAATAATCTTTATTCATGAGTCTTAAGGACAAACTACATGACTGCTATATAGTGATGGGAATCCGAGTGATAATTGCTGGGGGGGGGGGGAAGGCAGACAGTGAACTGTGCAGAGTGAGGTGGGAGTGTGCACAGCGATGAAACCAGTCTATATCTTGATAGAGAGGTGAGCTATCATATGTGTACATCGATTTGTCAGAGCTAATTGGCATGTAACTCTTTAAGTGCATGCATTTAAATTGCATTTAATTTAATGCAAATCAAATTCTAATTTCAGGGGAAACTTTTTAAGTCAATTCCCAAGAAGGAAATTGCTAAAAGACCAATAAGTTAGAGTTCTAAAACTTTCGAATCTAGTGCTTTGCCATAACTCATATTTTTTTTTTCTTTTTGCAGACCCAAGGACATCCAATTTAAAGGACAAGAGGTCCATGTGCTCACAGATAAGCACAGAAAAACTGGAATTATTAAACAGGGTTCTGTCTTCAATGGAAGAAATTGACACCTGTTCACCTGGAAGACTGGAGTGGGTGTTTTTCTAATAACCTGGTGTTCTTTTGCTGATCCATGGAGCTGAACCCCAAAATCCTGAGCATTGTTTCTCAGTCAGTAGAACCCATCCTTGTGCTTATCACAAACGCATCCTTCTTAGTCCCTTATCCTGAGCACTGCTTCTCAGTCAGTTGACCCCATTCTATGGTAAAGGTCAAGGGGGCTTTGCTAAAGAGAGGAGCTTTGCAAAGGAGTTTCAATGTAGCCATGACTAATGCTTTATTATAATAATTGTCACAAGGAAACCTTTTCCAAAGTTCTATTGTGTTTAAATATGTAAAAACTAAACTGCTTGGCGTCAGACTCCAGAAGTTTTAACCAGCCCCGCTGACAGACTCATGCTGAATCAAGTTTCTTTCTAACCTCATGTGGATCATGTCCCTGCCAGCTGTGAGGATTGCAGGGACCCCCCATAACCCTAGTAGCTCTTAAGGCCTAGTTTAGAGTCACTGGGATCCCAAGTAATCTGGCATCCATGGGAGAGGAGAGTAATAGGTAAGGGAGTTTTGCATAACACACAAATGAGAATTCAGACGTTTAAGGAACAGGTTTTCCAAGTTGGGGGGTGAAGCCTTGTTGGGTAAAGTGCTTGCTACACAAACAGAGTTCAGCCCCCAGTGCCCACAAAAGCCAGAAATAAAAGCTAGTACTGGGTGGAGAAGCAGAATCTTTGGTGCTTGCTGGCCAGGCAGTTGAGCCAAATCCTAGAGCCCCAGATACAGTGAAAGACCCTGTCTCAAAAATTAGGGTGAAGTGTTTAATAAAGATACCTGACATCAGTCCTTGGCTTCTACATGCAAGCACACACAATTGCATATGCATTCCTGAACACATGTGTACACACACACACACATGATCAGAAAGAAAGACATGAACACAAACTGGCATTTTCAGAGAAGCCTGCTAACCAAACCGCAGGCTCTGAGTATCAGAGAGTGTCAGAGCTCAGACACTGAAGAAAAGTGGCAAAGCTAAGACCTGGCTTTCCAAACGGAACATGGCAAGGAGCTCAGGGGCTGGGGACACAAAAGAATGAGGTATATAGAAACAAAGTCCTAGTGAGGGTCAGGTTTCTGGATCTAAGTCTCAAGGTGAGACGTACCAACCCTCCAAGTCTCTTGTTAAGATTGTCCTAGAGCCAAATGAGCCACTAGTGTCCACTTGGTAGACATTTTCCAGGCTTCCTAGGAAAAGTTTTATGACTGTCCATCCCAGAAGAAACTAGGAGCCCCAAAGATAAACAAAAGTCACTGGCACTTCCGAGTTATATCACTAGATAGCTCTATCTTTATGATAGTAATATCAGCTAGCAACATGTCAGCAATGGAATCAGTGTGCGATGTGTCAGGATGGTGGCAAGAGAGTGTGAAAGTTTGGGGAAAGCAAGCCCAATTATGAATTATAAATCAACAAACATGACAAGTGTTTGGGGGTCACAGGGAATCAGCACGCCATCTTAAACTATACATCCTTCCACAGATGGAAGTGAAGCCATTCAAAGAAAACCAGTCACGTGCCCCCGTGATGCTGGTGAACATGACCTTCCTCAGGTGCCCTCCACATAGCAAATAGTCATCCTCAGGAAAATAGTGATTTCA